CCACTATAGAATGGATTCAGCAAGCAGGCAAGAAACTCTTGCTTAACTTCGAGATATGTGTGGGCTCCCTCACAGAAGCAGGCGAATGAGGGCTAAAGCCATGGGTAGCCAAAATCTTGACTTCTGAGTCCACTGCATTCCCTTACTTGAATCTTTCCATTTTTAAGTGTTATCTTTCTCAACACAGAGCCAGTGTGACCTCTCTGGGGCTCCTGAACCAGTTAATGAATCAGTCCAAGTCAGAATGGAACTGGGTGACTTCAAGCATAGCCACAGGTAAAAATAAGCTGAACACGCCCCAGAGTTCTTAACATTAAAATATTTAAGTACATGCCAGATTTTTCTATTTTCCGCAATATTAAAAAAAATGGCTGGTAGTATTCAGCACTTGAAAATTAATGAGTTTTAAATATGAACATAGTACACCCCCAGTTTTGAAATACTCTGCTCTATTTTCTCTCTTCTCATCTTTCCCATCTGGTATGTTTTAGTAATAATTTAACAAATATTTTTCTTCAAGGCTGTCAGAAAAATCTCATAGCATTTTGGAAACACTAAACATTATCTTGTGAGGTAAATTAGGATACAAAGTAGCAGCATGACATATATGTGATCACACATTGTCAGTGGCAAAGACAGTAACAGAAATCTCAATATGTGCTGCTTTGGAGTCTTCAAGAAAAGAAATTGGTAATATAGAGCAAATAGTGAAGCTGAAACCAACATGTGAAGAATGATTTGCAAAAGTTAAAAAAATGCAGTCTCAATATAGGAAAGATTTCTTATTCCACTGATTTATTTTTGTTAAGATTTATTTATGAAAATTCAAACCCAGATAGCTGTCTTCTATATTAAGCAAAACCTTAACTCTATGTAGCTCCTTAGTCCCTCTGAGCTTTCTTCTCTCAGAGAATGTATCTACTATCAATCTGTGGAGACTGCAGGCAGAAGCCTATGTCCACCTCCACACTTCACACTGGAACTACTGAAAAGAACTGTTAAGTACAGGCCTCTTTCCTAGATACTTTAGTCAGTATAACTCATCACTAACTTTTGCTCATTACTGAGCTCAGATGAGCCAATAAAGTAACACACAGAATGCTTCATATTGCATTATCAATTTCCCAGCTCAATTTGTAAGAATCTACTACAGGTGTCAGGAAAAACCATTAGCCAGCACCTTAGCCAACGACAAGACAGCAAACTGCACCTCAGATAAGCAGCTGCTGGTTTAGAGATTATAATGTTAGTAGAAAGACAAAAAAACCCTCCAAAAAACCACTAACAAATCTGCACCTTTTTCTTCATACCATCAGCATGAGGTGTTTTGGATGTTATGATTTTATAAGCCTTTCCCTGCAACCATACAAGGGTTAAAATCTACTCTAAAATAAGTATTTGTTGAGATTCTCAGTCAACGACATTGAAAGAAAATTTCTTGCTTTAAGAAAATGCCAGATATCACAAGATGCATGACAAAACAGCAAGAGTTGCTGACATTTGGTTTTCTTCCATTGGAAAAGACACTAGTGGTTTTTTTTAAACTCCACATGCTGAAGTTTTCTAAAATAGATTTCCTGTCCTTTCTCTAAGGTTGCTGAACCCCATTCAGCCAGGGCACAGATAACATCTTTGGATAAAAGATTTGAAATCACAGTTTCTCCCATACAAAGTTCAAGCTTTATAGAAGAAAAGCTTTTCTTCCACAGAGCTGCAAACTTCACAAGAGAAAGGTATTTCCTCTGTTCTGTTCCCTCAGGAGGTGTTATATTCTTATAACCTGTCAGACTTACCCAGTCATATTTGTAATTTATATTTAGTATAAGGTCGTTTCTTTTCAGACCACCTCTGGATATTCCTAACACAAAAAGTGAATTCTGATTACTCACTTTTTTTCCCACAGATTAGACACCTTTCCCAGTGTTACTGTGTACTGGAAGTCTGTGTGAAACAACTTTCTGAATACCCAAAAAACACAGCCAAAAATAAAAAAGACAAACATTACAGGATTTTGCTCCACTTTAAAAATCCAATTGCAAAGCAATGAGAAGGAGATTTCCCTTACATTTAAAATAGCATGCATGTTTAATTAGAAGAAGAAAAAACTTAGCTGAAATACATATACATAGACACACTCAGAGAGAGGGGAACTCTCAAACTTTTTTACCCAGTCTGATCAAGGCTATGAAGAGAAGATACACCAGTTGGATACTATCATTTCAGAACAAGTTAAACTTGCCTACAAAATGGTCAGGACAGTCCTAATTTTCAAATGGCAAAAGATGCCAAAGGGGCATCTCTGCAATGATACCTATATAAACAGGGGAAGAGGGATAGTTGGATAGTTGGCAGGGATCTTATTAGGTTTCAGGCAACAGTCAAACCAATTGCTGTAGAAATTCAGACTCCATTTATGTCCTTAAACAATTCAATCCTTTCCTGCACACTTCTTCTAGAAGTGAATAATCCCTTACCAGCACAGAGCATTACAGTGAGAACCACAGTGTAAAAGTTATTAACAAGCAGCTGTACTGAATCATTCAAAGTTCCGTGCAGCCAAATAATCCCTCTTAAGTGATGACCAGTTGAAGAGATTGCCTAGGGAAAGGTTTAAAAGTGTAAATATAGAAATTTACTTCCCAGTCTTCAAGAATTTGTAGCTGAAGGACAGATATTTTGTTTAATATCCATTGCTGGATTTTTTCCCCCATGAATTTGTCTAATTGCTTTTGGGATATATAACATCCTGTGGACATTCTATGGAATATTTATACATCATGTAAAGTAAGTAAGTACCTCCCTTTTCGCATTGTGAACCTGCCTGCTGATAATTTACGTGGATTACCCTAGTTCTTGAATTATGGGAGGGAGGGAATTATCATTCTATACTCACCTGCTCCACACACAAAAAGACTTCACAAATCTCTATCCTATCCTGTCCTCCCTCAGGCTGAGTCTTCATCTGTTTAGAAATTCCTGTGAGAACTTCTCCCTGTCTGTGCTCATCCTTGTTATGTCTCTCACCATGCTTTCTAGATGTGCTATTTTGGGGGGGAAAAATGGGAGGGAGGGAGTGAGCAGTAAGATCAGTACAGTAGGAAGCTACACCATTCCCTGTTGATTTTTCTCTTTTGTTCACTAATAATATTCCAAGATGTCTGCAAGCATGAATACACAATTATGCAGTATTTCAAAATTTGTCTTTGTAATTATAAGGAAAAAAAAAATTGAAGCCACTACACTGCCTTCAAGCCCAACTTAAGCCAGCTTCCGAGTAAATAGTCTGGCTTTTTCCACATTCTTATTGGCATCCCAGTTATACAGCATTATTTGTATAGGCAGACCAACCTCTCAAAACTTCCAGAGTTGATATATTTTCCAGACTGGGTATCTGCTGCAGGTTAAACACGCTTGGAAAGTTTTAGGGAACAAAATCAAACCAATTCAGATAATGCAATTAAGGAAAAGTATGTGTTGCTTAGCTCTTTTGAAAAGCTCTGATGCCTTCATAAGCTACAGCAGGGATTTTAAATTGGCAGTTAACTACCCTCATATCAGGGACATATTTTCCCATTCCTATGAAAATATTACCAAATTTGGCCAAGTTACAACTCTTTATGAGTCTACATAAACTGTGCTTTTCTAAAGATTCATTAGAGTTTGACAGCTGAAGATGAAATCAGTTTGCACCACCTCCTGTCCACACCTCTGTTAACCAGACTGAATATTCATTATTCTCTTTAAGCAGTTAAGGTTTGTCGTGGATCTCCAGAAACTGAACTGAACTTTTCCTGCAACTGAAGCCTCCAGAGATTGTTATGACACCAGACAAAAATTTGAAGTGGTTCAGCTGTACATACATGATCACTCATACCTGTGTATTATTGCCTACTCAGGATTATGCATACTGGCCAAAAGCCACTTGGAAGAAAACGAGGAGGGAAACATAATGGTGGAAATACTGAAGGGACAAAAGAAAGCAAAGAGGTAATTGAGACTAGAACAAGGATCCTGATAGACATATGCTAAGCCTGAAAACATGGTAGATTCACACTGAGATGGAGAGGAAGGAATGGAAGGGATGAGTTCAGAAAAGGCTAACTGGAGATTGTGATGAATTGCTGGGGAAATGACAGATTTAGAGAATGACATGGGAGAAGGAAAACAGAGTGTAAAGGTAAGTGGTATGAAGACATTATTGGAAAAGAACAGGGACAGAAAGTATAAAGAGTATGTAAAGCTTCCTCGAGTCCACATCAGATCTCATCATCCATGACTCTCAACAGTCTTCTTCTATCAACAAATATCACTAAAACTCACTGAAAGAGTTCTCATCCCCCTCTAGTGCTCAACCATGGATGACCCTATAAAGTACTTTTGACATAGTTGACATAAACCCAAAGACTAAATAGAAAGAACAACTTATGCTTATGTCTCTCACTGCAAGATGATGTACAACAAGCTTCCTATTTGCATATACATATACAGAGAAAATCCTTTAATTCAAGAGCAAAATGGAGAGATATTCAAAAATTACTGCTGGAACTATTCAAAGCCTAAGCAGCAAATCTTTAAAAAAAAAAAAAAAAAAAAAAAAATTTGACATAGTTGACATAAACCCAAAGACTAAATAGAAAGAACAACTTATGCTTATGTCTCTCACTGCAAGATGATGTACAACAAGCTTCCTATTTGCATATACATATACAGAGAAAATCCTTTAATTCAAGAGCAAAATGGAGAGATATTCAAAAATTACTGCTGGAACTATTCAAAGCCTAAACAGAACTTTTAAAAAAAAAAAAAAAAAAAAAAAGAAAATTACTGAAAATTTTTAAATATGTAAAAAAAAAAATCCCTTTACGGAAGCAAACTGTAGCCAGTTCTTTTAGATCACTTAAAATTAATAATGCAATATTCTGTAAGGCCACATTTGGTACAGAAAGGGTACTTAAGGTATCAGTTTCCCATCTGCTGGAAGCAACTTTAAAAATACTCACGTTTTTAAATGATGAAATAGTTGCGCACTGAAATAATTTGCAAACAGTATTAAGAAGGGTGCCATGGCTCTTCTCTGCTTCAAGCACTTGCTCTTCTAGGAAGGAAACATGGTGTGCAACCATTTTAACAAATTCCTATGGAGAGAGGAAAAGCACCTAATGAAAATTAAAAGCACCTGTGCTGCGTTTCAACATTATCCTAGCTAGAATTCAGAAGTCAAAGAAGAAACTGTAACAAGATCTCAGAGTGCGCTATTGCCAATATAAATATCCAAGGGGCACATACTCATAAGTAGACTACAGATGTTTACAGCCATGAGAAGAACCACTGGTCATGACCTAAAGCTAATTTTTCTCCTTGCCAGGCAGGGGACAGCAGAGCAAAAGATAACGACAGGTGATTTTAGCTAAAAAAGGTCAGGAATTATCACCTAAACCATACATGTGTTCAGTTTCAGTTGAAATTTGAGCCATAAGGGAAAGCCAACTAGAAAGAACACGGTATTTATTTGTTAAAATACAGAACAGTTTGTAAAGAGTTTTGATACTGTCTATTAATGATTAAGCGTCACTTTTTTTTTTTGAGAAGTTGAGCACTGCCCATTTTAGGGATGGGGAAGGTGAGGCTGAACAGGTAAATTAATTGACCAAAATGTACCAGTGGCAACATCAAAATTAAAACCCAGCAGATTCTCATCCTACATAACCATTACACAACAATCCATTCCTTTTCTACTCTCAGGAGTACAAGAGAATTTCTCCTTTGAAAATCCCCATGGATGCTAAGCTTTAAATTTAAAAGTTCTAATTAAAACATTAACTACTGCTCAAATTGCCAATTTAATCTTGTGCTTTCAGATTACTGCTATTATAGCTGGTAAAGTTAGGGAGAAAAACCGATTCCTAGCCAATCAAGGTATTATCCTCCCTTGATAACCAAAAAAAGCCTCTCAACAAAATTATTCAAGGGCAAACTGTAGCCTAGAAAAGACTGGTGTTTTGTTCATATTCCAAATTACTATGTCCCTACAGTTGTACTAAGGGAATGAGGTCAGGAAGGGTTTTTTTTCTCCCTTCTCTGTATTAGAGGGAAAAAAGTAACAAGGAGCCCTTTTGCTTACCATACTTTTGGCACAAGTAATTGCTTGGAGTTTTAAATTTATTCTCCTGTTCAAAGACACACACTCCCCCAAAACTCCCAACCACCTATAAGCATGTAATTTGCAAAAAGACCTAAATGGGTGAGACACTTCCAGAAACAGTTGGTTTGGAACCTGATTCAGTTAATAATTTTTTCACAGTCCTAGCTTAAGTATACATTCAAGCGTAGTCAAACTGTCAAGTATGCCAAGAACCCACTAGCTATTTCTTGGACTGGGGTACTCAGTTCTGAAAATCAAACAGATTCTAAACAAGTTAACATTTAACTCCCACTTTTGCCTAGCCTCAATTTCCTGTCTGAATCTTTCTTCTGAAGTGGTTTGATAAGTCAGTTATCAAATATAGGTGTAAAATGCGAACTACAAAAAATGAATTGCATTTAAAGAAAACTTGCTGAAAGCTAAGTCAATTGTCTGTCCCTCCCACAGTAATAAACCTTACCAGAGGATATCACTTGGTACGGGGTAGAGCCTGAAGCTTAAGCACTGCCTATCTGGATTTAATGCCACAAACACTTGGCTTCTTTCACTTTGAGTCGGTTAAAACTGATTTTAAACATAGACAATTTATCTCATCATGTTTTCGTTATATTCCTCCCAGAGGCAAACTTGCCCTCAGTTGACACAAATTTTAACATACTGCTTACTAAATATGGTGAGGGCATCATCTTAGTGAGTCATACTGGCTTCCCTCATTCAGGATACAATAAACACCCAAACAGACACAATAGAAGATGGGTGCTCAGAAATCTCTCCACTCCTACGTAAGAGAATTATTAACAACTTAAAATGGATATGTCCAGCATGGGATTTGAGACTTGAATTTTTTAAGTTATAAATGGTTTCACAGATACTCCTTCAATCTCAAACCAATTCATCATTATTAGCATTATTATTAACATCAAAACCACAACTAATGCTTTTAATCTACCATTGGGAATTGTAGAATCCACAGCAATAAATTACTCAGTGATGTTCCAAACCATAAAGACTTATATGTGCTGAACCATGGGTAAACATATTGATTTAAAAACAAACATATGACAATAGAGAGCCATAAACATCTGAGTGCTCCATTTGAATATCTGGACAGCTAACCTATAAAACACATAAAAAGAAGGATGTAAATTTTCTAATGCAATGAACTAACCTCTAATTTATCAACTTTGGCATAGATGTGGTTCATTTCCATCACCTTGTCTTTAATGAGTGGAATGGTCTCATCCAGGATCTGTGATGTATCACTTCTAATCTGCATGAAAAAAGGTATCTCATATGAGGATGAATCTTGAAGATAAACACTACACTATATTTTTACGTTAATATTTCAGAAAACATCTCTTCAGAAAAGGTATCACAAGGACCATTTTGCAGCATGTTATCATATAGTAGAGATTAGGAAAACAACTTACTTTCTCAAGTAATCCATGAGACAATCAAAAAATGACAGAACTCCTACATCAAACCTGTAACCAGACCCTTCCCTCTTCTCCCCAAATTTTTACAGTACTCCTCCCAAAAGACCATCTACTTTCTATTACAAAATACTGTAGACATGAGGAGTAATAATGGATTTTAAATGAAAACTGCCTCTATACCATCCTTCATGATTTGATTTTATTGGGGAAGAGCTAACTCATAGTACTTAACAATCAGTTTTTTGAAAGAGTCACATCATTGAGTACACCACTTTAGCATCTTGCCTTCAACAGGGGCTCAGGACTAGAGTTGTCAGGAGAGCAAGAACCTTCACACAGCTTTATAGCATAGGCACCTCGGAGAAAGCTTCTGCTCCCGAGTCCCTGTCAGTTTCCACAATACTTAAGTGCTCTAATACAGGAAAGATTCTTTTTTTTTTTTGTTACCTACTACAACCAAGCTTGTTTCTAGTATCTATATGAGAGCCTAAACCTTATCTGAAATCCTGCTGAGTGTTGTGTTAGCAAGAATTACCCAATTTCCTATATAAACAAGCGCTAGTGCTTTGTTAGGTGGCAGTAAGCTAAACCTCCAAGCAGAGCACTATAGCTAATGGAACGTACAAGCCAAAAATGATGGATAGGACAAGAACTGTGAAGAGCTCTCTAAAGGGAAAGGTAAAAGCAAACCCAAGAAATCCTCCACTAAATCACTCAAATAGGCATTCTAATTTGTAAAACAGAGCTGCAACGCATTGACAAGAGAAAGAAGAAAGGCAGTTGAGCCCACTTTTATGCAAGTTTTCTTTCTCAACAATGGCATATAAGAAGTCTTGGTTCACTTCTGAATTAAAGCTGTCCTGCCTACAATTTTAATAGACTTAAAGAATACAGAGGAACAAGGATCCCTTCAAAAGATATTTTTGTCCTAAAGACTAAGCTAGAGGATATTCTTCCTTCAACTTCGTAGGAAGGAGTAAGGATCTTTTAGCTAGAACAGTGAGAATCTGGAGTTGGGTTAATACTGCAGGGAATTTTCTGGGCATTTTGAGATTTAATCCAGAATCTCAAATAAAGCATAAACACCTGCTATAAGTAATTCAATCCATGGACCGTGCATTATAAATTCTAATAGGTACTTAGATATTTTACTGATGATCATATGACTAATTGGGGTGTGTGTGGTTTTGTTTAAGAAGTTGTGTTTTTAAAAGCCGAGTACAGATAAAGCTATACACATAGAAAATGACTCATAGTAAGATTTTATGGCATTTTTATTACCAGAATGAGTACATGCAGATCAAGTGCTTTTATAGCACTATAAGTGTTCTGTAATAGGAGATCAAACAGACATATCAAAATAGTAGTAGCTTTCCATTGTAAACAAACCAACTGTTTACAACTCCTGTATTACTGGTCTCTGGCACCACATCCACCAAATATATATACAGAGACCTCCCCCAGCAGTGACATAACTGTATACACAGACACACTCTGTTATCTTTACAGTGTGTACTTTATATCCAACAGAAAGTGAGCACAGACACTCTGGCAGGATCCCTGTGAATGGAATCAGACTTATATTTTCTAATATTAAATGAAAATACAGGATGAATACGTAATGAAGGAGCCAAAGCAGAAGAATTCCAGGTTTGTTCTATTGAATTCTTTTGGGTCAATACTCGGCAAAAACCCCCTCCTCTATCATAAATCACATGTGAAAAACAGAGTGGTGATCTGTCTGAGGCGAGTTTCATACTCAGGTAAACTAATCAGATTAAAATTTGAGCCTGGACTTTCTAAAGATACGTAACAAACTCATTTGCTAACGTTGGTCTGGGAAAGGACTAGGGAAAAGCCACTCTTACAGCTAGATGCTAGATAACTACTGTAAATATAAACACAGGTTGGGACATAGCCAGAAAGAGGGAGATGTACAGACCCAGCATAAAAACTATCAACACAAGGCCAAAGCAGACATGGAACAGATCTAAACCATCCTTCTTTGAGGGTAAAAGCAAACAACCAATACAAGACACAGGAGAGCTGATTTGCCAGCAAGCAGCCTGTGATGAAAGGAAATTATATGCAAATATGATTCAAGAAGAGTCATTCTGCAGCAGTCCGCAGAACCACAGCGACAGAGGAGTTCAAGAGGAGTCAGCACATGACAAAGGGAAATGATTCTCTTGGTACAGCAACCTCTCATGAGCCAGAGAAAGCAGGACTGGTCTGAAAACCCACATTATAAAACAAGATTTATTTCCCCTTGTGCAATGTATTTCAATTTATCGTACTGAAGATTTAGCCGAGTGCTCAGCAAAAGCACCAGAGCACAACAGTCCATGGAAAAAAACCCTGTATTCCTCTTACTAGGTTTTACTGTGCTAACTGTAGGAGGGGGCAAGGAGGGAAGGTTTGGTTCAGCTTTGTCTTCTAATTCAAGTCAGCAAGACTAAGCTCAAGGAGGTAGCAAACCAACAGCAGCAAAGTCAGTTAGGAGACAGCACAACCAGAGTATGAATGATGAATTAGAACACAAACCAGGAATGGCACATTGCATGTAGGGCGATAAGACCTGGTCTTTGCATACAATGCAGTTCAAGCTATACCAGTTAAACAAGCAGATTCTTGTTATTTTGTATTTTATAAAAACTATTATTTTTTCAGGAAAAGAAAAAAAAACAGCTGGAGCCACAAGTCAAAGATACTGTACAAATTCTAGTTGTCACAAGAACTTTTTTGAAAGGATCTCTCTATATAATTTTTTGGTCTTTGATCCCATATGTTAACACACATAAAAGGATCATGAGTAAAAGTAACCACTGTAAACCGAACAGCTCAGTGGTGAGAAAAGAGAAAGCTGAGGTTGGTATGTTCCTGAGAAGTTAGCAAACCCTAGCCACAACAAACCAAACAAAACCACCTCTTCCTCTTTTTTCCCCAATGATGAAACCAGGTTTCACACCTATGGCCTCAGGGAGGAGGTTCCCAAACCATAATTCCATGAGACAACGATAAGTGGTTAGCAGCTGGTCCGTGGAACCATAATAAAGTAAGATTTACAAACACATCATTTCCTTGGGGCAACTGCTGCAAGAAGGTTCAATGACTTGAGAACGACTAACCTGTGGTTTTATCAACTGGTGAGCATGCTGGAGGATCAACATCAGTACTTTAAAAAAAAAAGAGGAGTATCAAACATAAGAGATTTTGCATCTATCCATTCATCCTGTTCAAGGATTAGGAGCCAAAGAAATGGAAGCAGTGTATTCCCACATGAAACTAAACCAGCTGTGTCTCTCTGAATAGATATAATTTTCAATCATGCTTTAAGATATACAAGAAGCACAAAGAATTGTATCTAAAAAGGTAACTAACAATGAACTGTGGAAACAATATAAGAACAGCATATACAAGAGTCTGGTTATTACAATTAATTCTTTTTTTTTTGCTTTTGTGTCACTGGTTCAAATCATAGCTCAGTTAAAAATCACAATTCGATAATTACACTTGAGAGGCTCTGAAGCCACTTAAAAGCCATTAATTTACTGTGTTGAAGTCAGTGCCCTAACAAAGATATCACTAAAAGTTAAATAACTGGCACTAAAATTCTCCTAGCACAAACTTTTCTTTGCAAGATGCTCCTTCCATGGCAAGTATGAGGCACGCTGAACTGTGTTTACATTGTCGCTGTAACTTACCTCCTGTACAAGTGTCCAGCGTAAGTGCTGTGCCATGCTGTGTCTAGCCAGGTACAACAGTATGATACTAGAAATAGAATTTTGCCTTCCTAGCACTGAGGATTCAGGTTTTTCCTCATTGCAATATTCAAATGTATGCATCAAAAGTACTTGTAAGTGAAAAGCAGCAGCACACTCAAAGGAGAAAAGCCAAATCCCTCTATGTGAATTCTTTACTGAGTGCCCAGTTGAAAAAAGCAAGATTCCCCTTGTCTTTTTTTGGCATAGACAAAAGACCAAATTATTGCTAGGCACAGAAGCTGGAATCCGTTCAAATACTACATTATATTTATCAGATTCCCAGATACCACTTGATGTGCTGCTGGAAGGAACCTTACATCGTAGGTACTGGATAGAAAGGCACAGAATCAGCACACTGACTGCAGTGCTTTGATGTTCCCAGATAATTTCAATAATCTGCATACAAGGGAATTATTCACACTCTGCGGGTCGTGGAAAAATTATTTTAGGGGCAATGCAAAGATAGCGTATTGAAACTAGGTTAGTGGTTTTTTTGTAGGAAAGGTTGGCAAGAGAAGAAGTCTCACAGGAGGTTTAAAAGCTCACTGGATCCATATGAACAAGCTAATCACTATATTGGAGCCAAAAATGTAAGGTGCATGCTTGATTGATAGGAAAAAGCATAATGTACCTACAAAATCTTAGCATAAGCTCCCAAACAGAAGAATTGAGAGAATGAACTTAATAAATCAGACAGAATACAATCAGCAGTGAAGAACTACCAATTCAAACCTGTCGTATCACTGAAGCAATCACCACCTTTCAGCACTGGACTCAAAGGATTTTCTGGCCCAAGAAACCAATCTCTCGTATTCTACATTTTGCACAGACTAAATGTGCCATACTAGAGAATCTAAAGCTGACAAATGTAAGCCGAGATGTATCAAAAAATAGACTGCATGCTCTGAGGTTCACATGCTCCTTTACAGCTATTTTTTGTCAAAAGCTGAATGGAAAAAGAACTGCTTAAACAGACACTAATACTGAACCATTCTTACAAGGCAGCTATTTCTCCTTTTCAGTCCCCTATTAACCATGTGAGACTTTGACGAGCCAAGCTTTTGTTTCTTTCCACTCTATGTCACTTCCTTCTAGAAGCAACAATGCATCCTTTCCATAAGGAAGACATGCCAACAACAAAACCAGAAACCTCTGATAGAAGTTGAAAAAAGATTAATAACTGGTTATGCTGCTGACTGATTTGCCTAGAACTAGGATGATGGCCTCATTTCTGTTGAGCAGAGTTCACGTCCAAGGTGCAAGAAAGATCTGTCCCATAACCAAATAATAATAATAATAGTAACTAGTTAGCTGATGATACTTTGCATAAACTGTGTCAAACATGTTAACTGGAGTTTTCAATGGATTCTTGCAGACCACACCAGACTGCTTTGGGGCCACCTATAACTTATAAGTTCTGTCCTTGAGAGTAAGCACAGCATTTCTCCAAACGCTGGGATACGTGAACAGAAAAGTGGAAAGATGCTTAGAAGGCAATATTGGCATTTGTTCTGTAAACAGAAAGCAATGTGCAGAAAGGCCAGCATGCCAATATCTTTCATTTGCACTAAAGCTGATAAGACTAAAGCCAGGAAATTGCTTTTCAACTGCCTAAGAAACATTGGCCACATAATTTTCTTATCTGCTTTACTTTATGCTGTCCCTCTCCATTTATCTATGGAATTCCTAAGAATCGTCCAACAAAATAGGTCATAAGCAACAAGTCCCCAAGGAGATGTTGGCTGGTCACTTCTTGCCATTAGAAGTGCATTCAAGACAATTAGCAACCATTGTAATTGCCAGTGACACATGCATGACATAAGATGCTTGAAGACAGAAGAAAAATGTTGTGGTAAGTGCTAACAGAAGATGAGATGGTCTGTGCATCAGTGATTATATGAGGAAGTCCCTCTAGGTAAACTTGGTCCATGCTATCTGAACTAGTGCTCTGTGAAGCACTCAGGAAGGGTTAAAATGCAGTACCAGTTCCTCTACCTAATTTTACATTTTTTAGCCTAAGGAAGGAAAGAAAAGTTGGCTGCAAAAATCACATTCATTATTTTTACATGAACAGCATAACCCAAATAGCCTTCAGGCAGCACCACTTTATGCAGAAAGCCTGGGGTAAGCTAAATAGTAACACATACCTCTTGCTCTAAATGGTTTATCCCAAACAATAAGGCACTGACAATGGCGAAGATAATTGGTGTGTTACAAGTGTTGCATAGCGTATCAGTCACAACCCCATCATTAATTAGTACTCCCCACTCAGTTATTCCACCCGCATCACCTTCTCTCTTATACTCTGACTGCAGGCTCTTAGAAGACACAACTAGCTTGTTGCGTTTGTACAGCGCGTAGCAGAGGTGGCCTTAATTCATGGCTGGTGCCCGTGAACGCTACGGCAGGGCACACAATCCCCTCATCAGCCAGCCTGGTGCTGCTGCCTCAAAACGCTCCAGCCGCCGCAGCGCGGGAGCAGCCTTCTCGGAAGGTCTCACAGCACAGCTAAGGTAACGGAAGGGGCCAGGGAGAACACGCGCTGCTTCGTTACTCTAGACCTTGCGGCCGAAACCCACCCCCGGCCCCCCACCGGCCAGCGCACCGGGCGGGCACGGC